GAGAGAGAGAGAGAGAGAGAGAGAGAGAGAGAGAGAGAATGGGTAATTAATTACGCAAACAATAATAAAGATCCATTGCACGACAAGTCCTGCTTATTAAAGATACATATCTATTTTATCCTAGAATACTTGATAATTTTACCAATATTTTTCTAATAAATTTTGTCTAATTTTGATGCCAACAGCAAAACTAATATTTATATTTTTAAGAGCACATACACATTATGGTATTTAAACGGAAAATATTTTTTAATCTATTTTTTAAATGGTTGATTTAATTTTGTAAAATCGTGCAGAAATATTTTAAAAGACATAAATTTTAATACTTTGAAATAGGATATAAAAAATATATACATACGCGCGCGCGTGCGTGTGTGCGTGCGTGTGTGTGTGTGTATATGCACAATTATTGGAAATTTTAAACGTGTAACCATATTTTTCTAATTTAACCAACTTGATATTTCATTAGTTTTTAGTATTCAAGGATTAAATAGAATAGATTATCGAATAACTGTGTTGATGCAATACTGCTATTATAATATGCGTATTTCATACGCACTGTGAGAGAGAAACGGTGCTCAGAAAATTAAAGTTTATACGAGAAGAAATTTGATACAAGTTTTTATAAACAAACACAAAGTGGTCGGATTTATTTCATTGTACATAGCGGAATATCTCTGTGAAATACTTTAGACGATAACACTGTTCAACGAAAACGTACTTTTTTTCGAGCACAAGAACGAAACTTGTGTGGGATCCGGTATTTTTTTAGATGCTGAATACGATCCCGTTCGTCATATTGTTCTATCGCGTCACACGTTTAAGAACTTTACAATTAAAGTTACAAAATATGGGCTCGTTAAGTGTATTTTGGTATATTATTACAACACAATTATATGATATGTGTGTGACGCGTTGGGGAAATTTACGTGCACGTAAAATTAATCATGTCGTTGGGACTTTCAACCCTTGAAAGAAACCCTTGAAGGACGTTGTCGTGTCCATTATGGTTAAAAAGATTGACGTAGAGTCTCTATTGCGTTAATTATATTATTCAAACTTTAGGGTTTTTCAGGTTGCTGAAAATTAATCTGATATCAAAGTTGATACAAATGGTAGAGTTGGCGGATATTAAAGGTAAAAACTCGACCACATTTATTGATTTCAATATCTGCCATATTGACTCTGTCATTTTCAATTGATTCACTTTGACATCAGCTCATCAGCCTTCAACGACTTGAAAAACCCTCAAGTTTGAATAACCCAATTTAAAAATATTTCACGGATCCTTTTCATAGATCCTTTTAATGGTCGCAACTTTGATGCGATAGATTTTACGTTAAACATTGATATCTTTCCAACCATAATCGACGCAATTAATTCCTTTTAAGAACTAAAAGTTCCAACAACATACTCAACTTTGATGATTACAACTACACTCCTCCAACACGTTACATATCGTGGTTTATTAACCAATATGCCAAAATGCTAAAATAGCCTTTTTGCAATTTTAACTGTAAATTTCTCAAAATTGTGACGTGATGGAGCACGTTGGCAAACGGAATCAGCGCCCAAAAAAACTACCGCTATACAAGTTCCGTTTTTGTGCTTTTTTTTGTTAAACATTAGTGTAATTACACACATTACAATCTGCTTATGTATGAGTATGTGTAAAATGTAAAACTCAGAATTAGCACATTCTTGAAGATCGAATTTTATATATTAACATTAAATATTACACTGTCCAAAGATATGTAGCGAAGCGCGTATAGTTTTACGAATAATAAGCCTATATTATTTTCACGGATCTGTTTATGTGTGCATTGCGCGCGCGCAATGTTTCTTAACTACGTGTCAATATTTGAGAAAAAAAGAGAAAAAGATATCGTATGAATGTATGTAAATCGTTTAGGGTTTATTTTTTTACTTGCAATAAATTATAATAAATTATGCACGTCGGAAGAGGAAGTGTGTTCACATATACACACGTAAAGTACACCCGTCTCTTTTGCCAACGCACGCTAGAGCAGATGATTAAACTTAAAACGCAATATACGTATTAGTAAACATCAGGTCATATATGAGAACAAGCCATATTTGCGAACAATATGTATACTTGAATTTGAACACAGGTAAGTATTTTGTTACAATTGTTATAAATTCAATTTTAATAAACATACACTTTTGTTCCCGTTATGGTTTGCCCCACCTTTACATATAAACTTATGCCTATGTATTACTTGATGGAAGCAAGTATCGACAATATTATCGTCGATTTATTAGATTCCAGCTTATTTGATTAATTAATTTCTCATTCGAGTACGTTCACGGCAATAACTATTTTAATATACTATTTTATCTATTCTATCGTTTTCAGCATCATTTGCTGTAAACGTGTACGCAATGTTCCCTTATTAGATGATTATAATCTTTTGGGAAAAAGAAATTTTAAAATTTCTCCATCAATGAGAAAGAGAAAGAGTGAGGATGGAAGGGGAGGGGAAGGCGGGGGGGAGAGAGAGAGACAGAAAAATTAATTTCTATCGACACGCAAAAGTGCCGATATGTCTAGCATGGTTTACAAAAAGCTTCCAACAGAAATATTTATCATGAAATTTATAAATAATCTTCGGGTGTTTAACGTTGAGTGAAAAAATAGCGATAGAAAGTAAATTAGTTACGATCATCTTACTTTTAGTTGCTGTCATATTTCATTCAGTGTTTCAGTGTTCGCAATGCGAAAAGCCAAGCGATACGTACCAATAGCGTTACGAAACTCGTCCGAGTTGTACTTGCAACAACAATAACGGAAATTATTATATAGTAATGTCAAGCGATATGTACAATTTGTAATTTAACATCATGTTTTACAAAAGAAATTCTTGTCGTGATTTCTCTTAATTCTGTATCTAAGTAGTTCTTTGGAGTTATATAATTGAGATTCTGGCGTTATACATGTAATAACATATACATATATAGAGTACATTATATAGGATGTTTCCTAAGTAAGTACAAATAATTGAAGGAGATATTTCGTGGCTTATTTTAGGAAGAAGCCCTATAAACATATGCCCTAAATTGCTTCGTTTTCAAAATACACGTTGTCAAAGATGCGCACGCCTTTAATGGATCTAAAACCGGTTTTATCGGTACTGGAAAATAGTTCTTAATATGATCACATGTAAGGTAAATGTACCAGTGGTCGCACACTTAAGCCACAATTCAGATTGTGATACAAATTTAGCCCATTTAGACGCATGCTTGGTACAAATGACTTGAACCATCTTGAAGCTTAGGGTTTCTAGTTTCTAAAACACATACAATGTTTATTTTAATATTCAGTCATTTATTATTTATGCCGCGAAAATGATAAAAAGGTCAAATGTACCAGTGTCCGCACAGCCTTTACTCGGTATGTCCCACCCAGTGTCCGCACAATACGATATTTAGGCTGCGGTTCACTTGATGCTACAAATGCTTCGAAGCATTCCTCCTTCAATGAAGAAAGAAGGAGAAGAAAAACGCTTCAAAGCATTTGTGGCGTCAAGTGGACCGCAGCCTTAAACCAAAATATATTCAGCCGTAACATAACCTCTCCATGTAAACAACAAACAATTTTTCTGATACTGGTTGCACAGATTCAGCATGCACATTAGATTTATTGCAGATATATTATCAACAATGAGTACTTACTTATCAATCGGTTTTCCACACGATATTTTGTTTTCTTTTAATCGAAACACCAGAATTAATTCCGTAGTAACAACTTTGCATCGATCGAGAAACAGCGTGCTACGCGATGTGCGGTTACTGGGACTAGCGAACTTCGCAGGGTTGTACCAGTATCCGAACAGCCGTGACGTGCGAGACCGAATAAACAATTTAAAATAAATGGTAATCCGTGCAGAATCATACTTCAAATTTGTTTGTTATTACAATAACGTATTGTAGATCCCTACACAATTTTTAAATTTGCAATATTCTTCACGAAATGCTTAATAAATTGAAAACATTAAAGTCGTGTGCGGCGACTGGGACGTGTGCGGCCACTGGTACGTTTACCTTATGCATACCAAATTTGAATAAAATATCTTTAAACGTTTTCCAGATTTTCGAAATTTTTATATTTTTTTCACAACTGTGACACCCTGTATTTTGAAAACGATGCAGTTTAGGGTATTATGTAGTTTATAGAATCTTTTCTTCCAAAAATAAGCAACGAAATATTCCCTTTAATTTTTTGTACTTGGGAAACACTGTGTGTGCGTGTGTGTGTGTGTGTGTGTGTGTGTGTGTGTGTGTGTGTGTGATATATATATAACACACACACACGCACACCCAGAAACACACACACACACACTCAGTTTTTTCTGCGATTATATTGAATTATCAAGTCAGAGGCGAAACATTTAAGCGCTACGCGGATCTTTTATTCTTGCACTTACGTAAAAATTAACAACGAAATTTGTTTTTTAACCGTAACGCGTTCATGTATAAATCAGTAAATGTTTAAAAAGTATTTTAGTTTTTTCTGTATCAGTAAATAAATGTGCAATGCAATCTACATATGCTTTATATTTTCAAGAAAGATGGATTTTGTGACAATTAATTAATCAAGATTTTTAGCACAAGATTATTTCGTAATCCATAGGATAAAAAAAAGAATCTTTGGCTTTTTTACGCTATATTGATATTGTCGATAAAAAATTGGCAACATGGGCATATGCGAGTGCCAAAGATAAAATTCATATAATTTTTCGCTTGTGATATATGGTAATCCAACAAGACCACAGCAAGGCGGGACTGTATATTGATATGTGAGACTTTTGGCGAGATATGAAAATATCGAGGAAGATTAGAGTATCGAGGATATTTCTTTCGTGTAAATTAATGTCATTGAATTATTATTATTATAGCAAGTTATATACATATTCTCCTTGAAGCGAGAAAAGCCGAATCTCGGAGAAAGCGTGTGGCGGATCGTGACAATTTTCAGACAATGCTGCATGGCTGCAAGTGCCCGCCATTTGTAAACAACACAGTCTACCGACGCCGACGATGTAATATCTGCAATATTGTGACAACGCGATGGGATTTGTTCCACGTTGAAACTTCTCTCTCTCGTGAATCTTGTCTCACTCGTTCAGATCCTCCGAAATAACTCTTTTGGATTTATCGAGGAACATCGTGGTGGAATTCAGGCCTATCACTGTCGTAGTGGTAGTCTCACTTACCGTAGACTCCCGCTTTTGATACGGATTCGACGGTTGGCACAACCTGCGATTGATGACGATAGAAAATAGAAAATCGAAAAGTGATACGTGTCGTATGAGAATCCAATCTCACGTACAAAATCTCAAAATTACGAAATCTCACGTACAAAGTAGACCAAAAGTACATTAAATAAGTAAAATAAGCGATAAAAATTTATTGATCTCTGCAGAGCTATAAACTTTTCCAAATTTTCCGACTGTCAATGAGTTTAATTTACGTTGATTACCACGTTGCGTTAAAAAAGATCAATCTCGTTATCTTTTATGACGCATTATGTATACATATATACTGCAATCGTTAAAAAAATTATCGCAACACTCACGTCATATCAAACGTTCGCATAATTTCAAATAAGCGTATCTCCGCGAAAAATAGTATTTGAAACGTTGTTTTTATTTTAAAAAAGGTAAAGTCTCTACTCAACTACTTAAAAAACTTTTGTTGGATCTTGATTTTATTCTCTCCCTCTCTTTCGCCATGTCCTTAAAAATAAGGACGTGGTTTTTCTCCGAAAAATTGCATAGTTTGACGACGTCTATCGAGTGGAATAATTTTTTTTTCGCAAATATTACAACTATCTCAACCTAAAATGTGGACTTTTGTAAATTAAAAAAAATTGAGATGAAAAAAACATAAGAGACCTTTTTTGTAGATCGTTAAATTTTCTA